CCCCAAAACCCCAAAACCCCAAAACCCCTTCAGCCACTAATAATCATAAGATTTTTTTGAGATCATAATTATACAATACAAATCAAAATGTCTAAACATTAATCCAAGTCGGAAAACCTAGCTGAAGTAGCGTTTTATGTTCCAAATGTATTGGGATATGTCAGATTCTTTGCAATCGTTGCAAGCTGGAAATTCGCTATGACTGATCCTGTCAAATTCACTATCCTTTACGCTATCTGCTATTTCTTGGGTGCAATTGATGGAACAGTTGCTAAAGTATTGAAGCAATGCTCATTCTTTGGCGCTCAAATGGATATCTTAATGAACAGGTTCGCCACAGAGAGTTTGATTTTCGCTGTATTAAAGCTTGGCATTACAAATATTCAGAATGACTCAGAGAAAATGAAATTCACATTGTTGTTTGGATCATTATTTTTATCAGACTTTGTAAGCAATTGGTTCCAAGTATTCTCTAGTTACCTAATAGACTAACCCTCTCATAAATCATCCAACCCAGTTTTATCAATCCTGTTAAAGATATTCACTTTCCCTGTAGTTAATTTTGCTATTACTACTCTTTCAGAAGCTTATACTTATTCCTTCTATCTGAGTTTCTTCCCTGACTAATACAAAGTACTAAGCAGCCATCCATAATATGAACTCTTATTAAAAGTAGCTTTAGCTGGAGCAGTCCTTAAGAATATTCAGAACTTTATCCACCTAAGTGCTGCATCTCTAAGAATTGTAGGAATTGATGTTAAACAGAAGAATGAAGCAGCAGCTGCCCAAGGAAAGAAGACTAATTGATATTTAGAGCATTTCTACTTTAGAAACGAATTGCTGATATAATTTAACTTCACTTAATAATAAATTAACAAGATTAATTATTTTCTCATTCAAACTTCTTGGTAAAGTACTCTGGTAAAAATTTATGAAAGTGCACGTAACCATCCTCTGACCCACTGACAAAGTTTATACCATCTGGAGATATTGCTAAAGTATGAACTGTACCAAAATGCCCTAAGATTTCAGCTAATGATTGATTGTATATGATATTCATTAATTTAATTTCGAATCCTCCCTCTGATGCTTTTGATGTGGTTACATCACGAGCGTCCTGACCTCCAGCAAGTAAGACATGGAATTTTTAGTTTTCTTAAGAATCAAACAAGGGACTGATACAAGCGGCCCTGCAAGGCTTAACGAAATTGAATAGTCTCACAACTTCTAGACTTCTTGGGTGGAGTAATTTGGCAGTGCCATCCTTTGAACAAGTAATTAGCATAGTATGATCATAAGTCACATTAAATGAGAATATTTCGCTGTTGTGCACATCCTCCTCAACAATAGTCTTGCTTGAACTCAAGTCATGAATGTAGAATTTCCCCTTGTTTGTTGCGATATATAAAGTTTGATTAAGTGGACCCCACGATGCTTAGGTAATCAAATGATCTTAAGGACCTTCAACTTCAAACACTCCATCTGGATTAGTTTGACCCTTGAGTGCACTTGCAGTGTCTTAAATTCTGATATATGATCTTTTGGCATGCTCATATACTACTAAGAATTATTGATCTCCTAATGCGAATTCTACATGCTTGACTTGAATGCTTGATCTTGGGATGGCAATTTTAGAGATTAACTATCCAGTCATACAGTCGAAAATTTGATATCCCTCAGTAGTAGAGGAAGCAAGAAGATACTTAGTATCTTTAGAAACGTCAATAGATTTAACAGCCTAGTTAACATTGAACACTCCGACTCTTGATTAGTCATAGGAGTTGTACATGCACACTTTACCATCGTCAGAGCAAGTGAATAGCATGTCTCCGTCGAAGTTAAACATAACTTTACGCACTGGTCTTGAATGTCCTGTCAAATAAATGGGTTGCATTTTTCTATTTATTAATAATTTAAGTATATTATACACTTATTTAAATATTAATTCCTTAACCAATGCTGCTATCAATAATACAGTGAGTGGGGTTTTGGGGTTTTGGGGTTTTGGGG